TCTTGAACAACCTATTTCTATTCATGCGACAACAGCACATTCTATGCCATCTTCCTTAGTATAAAACCAAACTTCAATTGCACAAGCCATTATAAGGAAGATTAGACTAACATCTGCCTTAGCCCTGTCTCCCTCTCTAGCTAATTGAATACCAGCTTTCTATTATATTAGTATTATATGTCACTTCCTTGTCCTATTCTTTTAGTTTTAGTATGCATGGGGGTAAGGAGATATTGATTACACAGTAGTTAGGAGCTCATAGTTTCGTGCGCTTACGGCGTGCTCTTTCTTTTCTTTTTATGACAAGTGGCCGCCAGTAGACAACAATAGGTGAGGTGTCCGGTACATGCTTCTAATGATTATTCCAGGCTGAGCACAACATTCTTATGCACCCATTTCACATGTTAGGTGTAGCTGGTGTATTCGGCGGCTCCCTATTTAGTGCTATGCATGGTTCCTTGGTAACTTCTAGTTTGATCAGGGAAACCACAGAAAATGAATCTGCTAATGAAGGTTACAGATTCGGTCAAGAAGAAGAAACTTACAACATTTTAGCTGCTCATGGTTATTTTGGCCGATTGATCTTCCGTTTCAATAATTCTCGTTCTTTACATTTCTTCTTAGCGGCTTGGCCGGTAGTAGGTATTTGGTTTACTGCTTTAGGTATTAGCACTATGGCTTTCAACCTAAATGGTTTCAATTTCAACCAATCAGTAGTTGATAGTCAAGGGCGTGTTATTAATACTTGGGCTGATATTATTAACCGTGCTAACCTTGGTATGGAAGTTATGCATGAACGTAATGCTCACAACTTCCCTCTAGACCTAGCTGCTGTTGAGGCTCCATCTAAGAGGGTTTGAAACCAACAACCAGATCGGGTCTATTCCCATTCCTTCACCGAAGTGGTTGACGAGCTCAAAAGTTCCTTTTTTCTTACTTTTCGTGGCTGATTAGATCACTGAACTTGGTTCACTGACGCTAAGAGAAGGAACCATCAGATTCTTTATATATCCCTCCCTTTCCACTAGGCTTAAATGGGCCAGTAAATTCTGGTGGACCAAATACAGCAACCTCACCTTTAGCCATGCAGAAGAGGAGATTCCCAGACTATGATGCCTGGCACCGATCAACTCTGAAAGTCCTGGATTTTTTGTACTCTCTCTGAAGAAGCTATTGGATATGTATTTGGACTTGCAACAGCTCAGGAGGTCTCTCTTTGGCTGATCATTTCAATCATTGTTCTATCTCTCGTGACTTTTCTTTGCTAATAAGCTAGCTCTCTGCAAATGATAAGAAAGGATGGAAAAAGCATGGAGAAGACTCTCTCAGTCAGTTTAAACATATATGTTACCTTACCAGCTTAGCTCAATCGGCAAAGCAGTATCCGAACCTATGAAGTTGCTGCAAGGACTTGGTAAGGACTATGAGGCTTTTTCAACAGCTATACAAAGGTCTATGAAATCGTCCTCCAGTACCTACCTAATAGTGATGTAGTGTCTCAAAGAGAACTCAGACATCAAACCTATGAAACATCAGCTGCTCATTTATTAGCCTTCAATACACAGAGAATGGGTTATGGTCAGATTGGTGGTAGGAGAGAATGGTCGTGGTATGCGAGATGGCAGATTTGGTAGTTAAAGGAAGGGGCAGGTTATACAACTCGAGGTACGTAGTGATTGTCTAGAGAGGTACTTTAGTAACTCGACTAAAAGGAGAGGTTGTGAACACAAACTCGACTGAAAGACGTTCCTCTCAGTCGAGAGAATGGCGTTCTTCGGAGTGACTCGACCCTTGTGCTTCATCCACCTTGTTCAAATTGACTTGCTTTTTTGACTTTAGCAGACCCAGAAAGAAGAATTTCCCAGCAACTAGATTTGCTTTTTCAATCCTTGCATCACACTGCCAAGTATGAGGAGCCGCATCGATGCACTCATCTCTCTGTCTAGACTCTCTACTGTCACCGCGCTCTCGATCCTAAGTAGACTATGTGCCAGCTTGGCATCTAATTTGCTTTCATATATAGCCGAGCCTTCCAGGACATCTAAAGAGAGATCCTAGCTATTCTTTGTCTAATTCATCATATGAGTTCTAAGAGAGAGGCCGACTATGTCCGATCACTTCTCAGGAAAACTTCTTGGAAGGGTGAATAAAGGGGAGTTGCTTAGCCCAGAAGTAAGGTGAACTCACCCTTTTCTATGAACTCTAACTAGATCACTCATTCGGATGGAATGTGAGGCAATGCACCCACTTCTCGCTACTTCCTTAATAGTGAGTTCCAAGAAGAAATATTGGATTCATGTTCTCAATGGTGAATCGATCATTCGATATCATCCTTTGCCTTATGAGAGGAGGAGGACGAAATGGAAGAGAGGAATTGATTATTTGACTATGTTCAACTCTATCGACACCTTGACTATGTTCAACTCTAATCGACACCCTCTTGACCTATCTGTAGAGTCTCTTCTAAAGACTAGATCAACCGCACCACATCTTCTTGAATGTGACGCACCGGGAGAAGGGCTGAGTCGTCAACTTCTCTTTCTCTTGGTCGTAGGTTGGATGTGGCACAGAGGGAGTGAGCAATCTCTCTTTTCTGTACAGGGAATCAAAAAGAATGTCTATATCTGGAAGGCTACAGACTGATGGGTCGCCCATGTGTCTATGAAGAGGTTAAGCTAAGCAACTTCTTTCGCCTTTAGCTTGACAGTAGGAATGTGATCTTTGCTTTTATTAAGCTTTGAGCAAGACACCATAGGCAACATGGGAATCCTTGATCTACTTGTTTCTCAGATTCCCTTTGAGGTTAGGAGAGTGAGTCGATTCTTACCCTCCATCCTTTGATCTTGGACATCTCACTTGGAATTAGATATAGAGAAATTCATTGAAAACTGAAAGTAGAAGGCAATGAAAAGGAGTTTCTAGCCGGATCTTCTATCTATGCAGAAGAGATGTCTGCTAAAGCCGCTGCAATTGAATGAGATAATCTGCAGAAATTGATTCATGAATCCGATGCAGCTAACGAGAGTCGTGGTAGTTCAGTTCGAAAGGCTATTCCCGAGGAGCGTAAGCGACATGGCTATTGTTTCAGCTCTTCTGACTATGCTTTCCGTGGTCGCTAGGCGGTGGTTTAGTAAGGGCTTTAGGAAAAGGCGTAACTGCTCTTGTCGGAAGGGCTACTAGATGGAGGACTCATTCCCCCCACACCTGGACCAGGCTCAAAGCGATGAGACGATTTCTTCTCGGTTAGACTCTCTAGAACCAGAACAATAGACTGATTGACTGTGGTCAGGTCAGAGCCTTCTGTTGGAGGAGATTGATTTGACTTGCTACCGTACTTATTCTTCCGCTGGAACTGGACTCTCTAAAGCTGAAAGTTTCTTCGCCCTCATCAATGAATTAATGAGTTTTTTCGCCCTCATCAATGAATTAATGAGTTTCCTTCGCATCGGTATTAGAGTCAGACAGCCAACTGTGGGATTCTTTTCTAGACTAGTATACTCTAGCTCCTTAGCTAGCAATAATAGTATTAGAAAGTGAGAGATAGGCCTAATGATTCCTTTGTCTCGTATTCAAACGGATACTCTAGAAGGCTGAGAACTGGCTTGTTTGGCTCATCAATTTCAACAACGACCAAAACGATTACATCAAAGCTATCAAGCCCTCATAGCGCCTAAAACCTGTGAGAAGTCTTAAACAAATAAGAATGCCCACCCCGCCAAGCGAGTACGAGAACCCTCCATCTTCCTGTCAACGGGACAACAATCAATCTTTGTTGGTCCGTAGTTGAATTTCAAACTAGGGTAATCCGTTCTCAGTGAGCTTGAATCGCATGGGTCAGAGTACTTTGGCCTGGAAAAAGCATCTCAAATAGCCTTTCTTTTGTAGTAAGCCGCTCGTACCGCTCCTCTAGTTCAAGTAGTTCAAGAATTAAGCTAGCTTAGTTAATCGATTTTAAGACAGGCTGACTTCCCCTTCTTCCGCTTCTCAAGGAGGGAACTTTCTATCCCAGCCAGGTAGAAGTAAGCGAACGACTCCTTCCCTCTGCCTTAGCCCTGTCTCCCTTCAATAGCTGCGGTTACCATGTATGTAGGTAGCGAGTCAAGACTTCCGAGCTACGGTAGCTATCCCTCTACCTCTTCTACTATGTGAACGAAGACTGTGTTAAGTGAAGTTTCAACCAGGAATTCGTTAGCTCCCCTAAGAAAAATCATCGGAACTCTCACAATAAGGTACGGAAGTTTCTTCTCTTTCCCTTCGCGCGGATCATTTTGTAAGGATGAGCGCCCCTGCCGAGCAACTCGAACTCATGGAGACGACTCCACCTGACATCATCAAACAAAAGCTAAAACGATGCGGGGATTGGTACGAAATCTATGACGATCCCCTCTTACAGGGTCTAGCCGTACATTTCTGTGAAAGCTTACCGGAAACTTGGACCTTCTGGTCAAATCTGTGCTGTGTAAGCTTGATCTCTTTGCATTGAGTCTTCCCCAACCTGTCAAACAAAGAAAGCTAGTATAGGCATGAAAACAGCTTGTTTAGAGAAAGAGCTTCGCAGGAAATTTTTGACAGAAAGTAGCGACACTGATATTTTAGAACTAACAAGTACCAGGCCTAGACCGGGGAGTCGGAACTAATAACAGCTTTTAGAAACTCCAAATCCAACTCTTTAGACTCCAAGTTGAACGCAGGAAACTCTACCTACAACCCTCAATTCCGGAGGTTGGCAGCTCATCAACTACGAGAAAAATGTGATCGCAATCAAGCACATAACATTGAATCTCGTGCAAGACATTCTTTAGCTAAATCTATAGCAGCTGATTCAATAGTGGATGGTCTTGTTGAAGGCTTTTTGACTTCTACTGAGACCAAAGTCCTTACTTACCAGACCTGGCTACTTGAATAGCAGAAAGAAAAAATGTCACAAATCCAACTCCTAGGTCACTAGGAAGAAGAATGGAGGGAAATAGAAGAGGTCCTGTAAAAGAAGCTTTCATTCGATGCTTCTGATTCAACTCCCAGAACAAACAAGGAAGTATGCGCGAAGATAGGGTGAGTCCCTGCGGCAGGCATTATCCGGGAACGATTATCCAGGAACTTACAGAAGGTTGGCGTGACACGCCTAAATCCACAACGCTTCAAGCAAAGAGATATATCTTTCCGCTTTAGCGGCTTGAACCCTTCGATCAAGAGATACCTTAAATCAAATCAACTAAGTAGCTGACCTCTTAGACGTTCGTGGGTATTCAAATTCATACATAACCTTCTCCGACATGAGATAGAGTGAGAGGGCCTAACCTATTCCATAGAACAAACTCAGCAAATCTTGATCCGTATTCCACCTCAGATGGTAGAAGGGGCAACTCAGCCTTGTCTTTTTCTTTGGACTAGGAACCCAGGAGAATGTTCAAAGCGATAAGAGAACAGGTCTTTTCAGAGAAGCTCTTGCCGCTCTTCTGTTAGAGTTAGCTAAAGGCCAGCCAAACCAAACTAAAAGACGTACTTGTAGGTCTCCTTGATGAGCGAACAAGCACAAGGCCTAATATGAACTTGGAGCTGCAAAATCCCAAACGAAAGTCGTTCTCCACTCATCCTTTCTTCCACTTCTTCATGACCTTCAAAATCTCCTTCTCCTGCCACTAACTTGAGCTCTCCTCCTGGTCATAGTCGCTCGGGTACAACAGAACGGTATGAATATGATAGAAAAGTCTCCTATATATCTTACAGGACTCAAACCTGGACGACACCAAGAAAAGTATGATCTTACTGGACTAAACCAAGACTGAGACTTAGAGGACTGCCTGCCATCCACACCGAGCCATATCAGATTGATATACGCCAACTCAAATACGACTTTGTTTTCAAGGCAAATCCATTGGACAGATCCTTGCTTTTTGAATCCACATGAGGAAAGATCTTCTCGAGCTTTTTTCTGTTTACATAAAAAGGCATAGGACTCCCTACTTGCAAGAGTGCCAGACGTAGCCTTGCGCCTGGCCATTGGTGGTGCTTCCGCATTCTTCTAAAGGACCTCTTATCGAGTCATTTCATACCTTTGGAATTGATTTCTCTCCTATTAGGGACCTCTTTCCGTTGGGAGCTCTTTCTGTCGGTATTACCACTGCACTCGGTCAGTGACTCTTTCTTTTTGTGAACCGGAGCTTCTTACTACTAACAGCTACCTAACCACAGTCACTCAGTCTATTGACTCCCGGGCTTTGGTTTTAGAGAGATTTCCGAGTGCTATTCTTACAGCTTGCCTTACTAATTAATGTGCCCCTTTGCTACTGCTGCCATACCACATTCAGTCCAATTGGCCATACTAGATAGATATCATATTTATGGAATACGATTCACTCCGATGAACGCCTTGGTGGTGAAATGGTAGACACGCGAGACCCAAAATCTCGTGCTAAAGAGCGTGGAGTGATAGATAAGACTTTTTATGGTCTCAGGGCTATCAATCCCCTTGTCAATGTAGCACAAAGAGGTTTATCAATCCAAATGTGGTGTTAGACACTAAGCTATATGTTCAAGTTCTTAATTCAAGCAAACAAGAATAGGTTTTGATTAATCTAGAGACAACTATAAACATAAACAGGTTTAAAGACAAATGACAATGACAAATGATGTGAATATGATATGATGGAGGCATGAGATTCTAGACATGATAGTTGGTTAGGGTGCCTTGGTGTTAAACTAGAAATGCTAATGACAATGATGAGACATGATTCAAATGATTAAGAACTCTAATCTAGGTTAATCCTCTCATGAAGGTATTAACCCCTATACTAATCCATTTTCAAACCAAATTCCCATTTGTGAAACATGAATCAATATGCATTAACAAACAGCTCTTAATGATCATTCAAGCATTTAACAAATCATTCCCATGATGAAAAATTACTTAAACCTCTAACACAACTCTTTCAGGAATTTCATCAAACACTTTTGGTGCATGAAATTCCCAGAATCTAGATCTCAAGTGATTATCAAGGATCTAGCATAGAGAACAGCTGTTTAGAGAGATGAATCAATGAATCTAGCCCTAAGCACTCCTAATCTAACACTTTAGCACCCTAACCTACACATCTAGAACCTCATTAAGGTGACTACTCACTAATCATACTAATCTCTCTTAAACCTTTGCAAGTTGAGTAGATTAGCATGATTAATGATGAGAAATGGAGATGGAGATGATAGATTCAAAAGAAAACAGCTTTAAACACCCAGATCCCTTTAAACTCTCTTGATTCAACACTCAAATAAAAATATTTCTCTTCTTAATGGAGTCTTTTCACCAAAGAGGCAAGAGACAAAGGGAATAAAACTTAGTTCTCCCCCAAAAAACCCTAAAAAGTATTTATACCTTCTTAAAAACGAACCGGGTCAGCCCGGAACAAACCGGGTCCTGACCCGGCTTTAATGGATAAAGTGGGAAAAGCTGCGGGTCGGTTCAGTATGTCCCAGGCCGCACACCTAAGTCGCAGTAGATGAAGACTTGTCTTGTGAGGCTTGAATCGCCTTGTCGGAGCCGCACGCCTATCTAGGAGTAAATTGCGAGTGTTTCTGCGGCATGGTCTCCTTCCTCTCCAACTCGCAGGGCTGAGCCGGTTTCTGGGGGATGTAGAAACTGTGCGGGTTGGTCTCTATTGCACTTAGGTCGCAGGCTCAAGTCGGAGTGAATTCCGAGTGATCGTGCGGCATAGATCCAGGCGCGGATGACTCGCATGCCTAAGTCGCACGATTGTGGACTTAGCATTTCTCTTGCTCGGGAGCTCCAGACCTCTTCCAGTGATAGTTTACCCGCACATTTCAACTCGCAGCATCAGCATTCAGGCGTTCATCTTCAGGCCTGCGGGTTAACCAAGTCGCAAGACCATCTCGCAGCATCCAGAGCAGCTTAGATCACTTCGCATTCCGGAGATTGTAACTCCTGTGATACTTGTCCGAATTGAATGATTTTGGTTGCAGAAGACAGAGGACTCATTTATCTCCAACTTTTGTGAAGGAAGTTTCAGTGCTTGGGAGGTGGAAGGCTTCCTGGAGGGCACATCTTTGCAGTGCATGTATACGACCAGAGAGAGGCGTCTAGACATGTGTCCATTCCGGAGGCCGTATCTTCCTGCTCATAGATCCGAATTGAATGCTCTTGGACGTTCTGGAAAGAAGACTCAAATGTCTCTGATTCTCATGAAGGACCCGGAAGCTGAATCGGCCTGGAAGTGCACCGTCCTTCGCATCCTTCAGAACTGATCTGCTCGGTCCGGAATACCTGCGAGACAGGGGTTTCTTCCGACGAGCTTATCTCTCTGCTCACGCGTCCGAATTCTACGATTCCAATTGCTATGAGACCGTGCTTCAATGCTCTCCAACTTCTATGAAGGACCCGCCATCTGAATCGGACCGGAAGGCTCCCCGGACAGGTGATTTCTGAGACTCGTTCGCACCCGGAGATTTTGGCCGATATACTTAATTCGCGGTACGTGAAAATGGCCGGTAAAACCTTCCTGGCCAGCGAGAATGGCCGATAACCTCCATAGACTCAAGTTTTCCACTTTTTCAAGCTCTGCTCACCATTCCACCTCCTGGATTCATCTTTTCAGCTCCATAATCACCTGATAGACACTCAAAACATGCAAAGACTCATTGGTACCTAATGCATCTCCTAAGTTCTAAAACAAACCCTAAGGACCTAAAATACATGAAATAAAACATGATTTGGAATGATTTATGCAACCTAAATGATGCAAATTATGAACATATCATGGAGGTTCGAGACATACTCAGATATATGTCTACTCAGCAAGGAATCTCCACAAGTTCTTCTCTCTCTCAACTCTTTCACATTCATTAAGCTTTTATCAGGTGGATCTCATGATGCAAGGTTTAAACAAGCTGGCTTGGCTAGGGAGAGGCTATGAGATTAAAATGATCTCATCAGTGTTCAAGTGGGTTAAATGCAGCAAAGGGATCTCTCTATGAATGATCAAACTTTGGCAGAATGCTAAAGGTAAAAAGCAACCTATGCATACAAGGGCAAAGACTCATCACTCCCCACCCTCTACTCAACGCTTCCTCTCTTGCTCAAAAACCTCACTTTTCACACTCATTTTCCTCTCACTAGGGGATTTGTTCTTCACTTTCACTCTCAAGTCTTGGAACTCAAACTTTACACAGCTCTTTTTCTTTTACAACTTCTAGCCTCTTCTTTCTTTCTTATCAAAACATTTGAGCTTTTGGCTTCTTTTCTTTCTTTTTCACTTAGAGGCTAGATTTTTCTTTTCAACAAACCAGAGCTCACTTTCTCAAAACACCAAGACTGACTTCTTTTTCTTTCATTCCCCTAGTTATTTTCACTCTCTCTTTCCACTCATCTCACCTTTTTCCACTCACCAAAAGGTCTTTTCCCCCACACTTATTCCTCGCCAAAACTCTCAGTTCCTTGATGTTGGAACACAGCACTCAATGAGACCTGCCCTTGTCGCTCTAAACCTAACACTTTCTGCTAAGTTTGATCCAAGGTGGCCTTTCAATTCTCACACAAACATTGGCTTAAAAGAAGGATGGGTTCAAGGTATGGGAACTGATCCATGATGTGGATTCAGTTACTTGAGCTAAGGAAAAGAGTGGTAAAAACAGTGGTTCTAGCTCAAGTATGTATATTGGTATCCACAAGCTTTTTCAAACAATGCATCACAAGATATTTTCAGGTCAAGTTCAAGGTTCCCACTTAATTAGAGTTGAGTTTAATTCAAACTTGCTTCTCAGATTCAAATCATTTCAGACTTTGCAAGCATAGAAAAAGATTCACAAGCATATTCAATTCAAGTTCTCAAAGTGATGTACTCTCTAGAAAACCTATCATTACTCCTTGCAAGATGCAACCTATATGCAAATGCAATCTAGACTCAATCCTAAAAATGAGAATGCAACTACATGATCATTTTTTTGTGAAAATTTTTCAGATTTTTCCATTTTTTTGGTTTTTATATGCACTTAGATGACTATGCAACTAGAATGTGACTCAAGACTCAAAGTGTAAAATGAGAAAATAGAAAACATGGTTAGTAAAGGATGAAACTCCTCCCCCACACCTAAATAACACAGTCCCTTGTGTTATAAAAGTATGAGAAAGAAGTGAAACCAAAGCAAACAAGCAAAATGCAAAAGGAAAAGAAAGTCTACATGCTATTTACAAGGTTTTGAGTGTTACCTAGTGGCTGTTGAAATCAGACCCCAATGAGTAGGAGGGGTTCGATGTGTGGCCTGACGGTGTTTCCCAAGAATGGTGGCTGGCTTCATCACTCCCGTCGTCAAGATCTACCCAAGTGGTTCCATATGCGACCAAGGCTGTGCAGTTCATGGAACTCTCCCCAACTTCCTCTCTGTTTCTTGGTGAAACTGGTGCTGGAGCCCCACCTTTGCAAGGGTTTTCAAGCTTCTTGATCCTCTTCTTCATCTCCTTGATGCACTTGGCCATCTTGTGGATGGTTTTGTCTTGGTACTTGCACCATTG